TTTTAAAAATGTTTCATAAAACCCTTGCTACCCCTAGCCCTTTTCAGAAAATGGTGATTGCATTAATGTACAATGTTTAGACATCTTCTCAATCAATAATATTTTTATAGAAAACAAATATATTTTCACCAAGACACCTCTTGCTTTGACAAGTTTCTCAAGAGAAAACAAACAAACTTCTTTATTTATAGCAGAAACGAATAGAACTCGTAAAACTTCTGATACGTCTCGTTCCACCGACGCAATCGCACATATCCTTTGCTTTTAGAGGAATAAGAGACTTTTAAAGCAGGCTACAGTTCGCGGTATTATACCACAGGCAGTATATAGGTGCAAGACCAATTGCTTACGCTGGCTGCAAACAGTGCAGGAGGAAAAGTTTCTCAGTTTAAAATCAGTATAACTATCGATAAATATGAGCAATAATTAAATTACTGTTCATGCATTTGTTTGAAAGAATATTCTATCGTTTATTTCAAGTATCCTTGACATTTTCTGAAGAAGTAAGTCTTTTACGCTATCAGAAAAAAAGTTTTAGTCTTATTAAACAGTATGATACTGTGTAGATCGGTTCCCCTGCATTTACATGGTGAATGACGTAACGGCTGAAACATTTGTCCCGTTCGAACGACCCATTCTTCGACAGTATAAGAATCTGGCCTTCTTCAAGGCTCTGCGTTCTCGTCACTTATATTCATCTATTATATAAGCTCTCTTCAGCTTACCAACTACGTCAAATGTGCGAAGTACGCAGATGATATCGTTATCAAATATCCTATCCACTCAGAATCTAATTCACCTGCTCTGCAATTTCTAAGCGCTATGCGGAATTCTGGTCACCAGTCATAGTCTGACAAGGACAATAGCCGGGTAATAGTAGTCACTAAGAACGAAACATCAGTAGGGCTATTTCTTATGTCTGAATATCAAATTACAATGGTAATCGAGTCACTTCCATGCGTTAACACCAACGATATCCTAAAATGTTCTACAACGACAATCACAGTAGAGTTTGTCATGTCGTATGATAACGCTGAGTTCCCATCGAGGTTGTCAGTCCCTCCTTTAAATGATACGGTGCGATTTTTGATTTCTGCTTGTCAACTTCGTAGCATCACCAGCATAGACACAGTCATATTTGCTTGTCCACAGAGAAGGGATTCTTAAAGGTATCGTTTTGCTGATCTGTTGCATGTGAAAAATTGTACACGGAGAACTACTTGTGTAGGAAAGCCTTCACGAGAGTAGATGCTTTGCTCAGACAGTCGTTGTGTAGTTGTGGTTTCTGACTGCATGTGACATGCTTACGTAAACAATCCTTGCGTGGCAAAATGAAAAATCAGGAATACTTTAAATGCGATTAGGCATTAATTGCTTTCAATCGAAGATCATTCCTGTCATTCCTTTCCACCGCTCCTACAGAACCAGGACTGAAACGGTTGATTTCATACAACTGTTACATTAAGAAAAAAGCATTGGTCAATTAGTTTCTAATGACCGCTAATCCTATCAGTTTGCGGAAGCGCACAAGCGTTAGACGATCTCTCCAACGTTCCAGATGCTGTACCAGCGTTTGAGCTTTGGCAGGTGATAACCCGAATCTGGACCAGGACCTTTGATATACATGTCCCACGATATTTTTAGCCCTCCCAGGGTTTTCGCTCAGTCGGCTAGACAAGTAGTAGGTGGTTCGCCTTTTATTCACGAAGCATTCGAAAGGCGTGCATAAACCATCGAAGCTGTGACTTATCAGTGTGAAGGAACAGGGGCTGTAGATCAGAGCTATCTGGAAAATATACACTCCGGAAAATCGAAAACGCCTGAAACCGCAGATTTGTCTCAGAAAGCCCATTTCATCCACCTGTACCCGGGATCACAGTTTTTCAGCAATGGCCGAATGACTCATACCCAGAGATAAACATGGGAATGAAAACTGACCAGAACACAGACAGCTTCGACTTCACCCTCAGGTTTAACTCAAACACAATGTTCGGGCTAATTCAGCAGAATGCTGCTTACCATTTTAATTCCCCAGCTGATCTCTTCCTCCTATTTCCAATCATCAGTAAACACGACTCAGAGGTACTTGAACATCTCAACCTATCCCACCGTTCCTCTATTTTTCTGCAGAGGACAAAAACGTGAGAACGAGAAGGTACTCGACTTTTCGTTCTAAATATGTTCACACGCCTGCCAGCCACGTTGCACTCGGCTGCAGACCTCACTAAATAACGCTGGAGATCAGTCACAGAAGATGCTAATAAAACAAAGTCGTCTGCAAACAGCAACCTTCTCGTCTTCCCATCTCCTAAACCGATACCCTCATCGACTTGGCAGCTCCTGACTATTCTATCCATGTACAACACAAACAGGATAGGGGATAGGACGCAGCCCTGGCGGAGACCAGTGCGAACGCTGAATGGTTTCGAATTAACGCCATTAACTATGACGCAGTACCTCCTATTAGAATACAATGATTGAATGGCCCTTAGCAACTGTCCATCAATCCCGTATGCTCGAAGGCATGTCCACAGACTGTTGCGTGGGATCCGGTCAAAGGCTTTTTCCAGGTCAACAAAACACATGTACACCGGATGAGAGAACTCACATAATTTCTCAACAACCTGGCGTAAGGCGATGGTTTGGTCAGAGGCTGTTCGACATGACCTGAAGCCACACTGCTCTTTCAATATCTTAGATTCAGCAGTTCAGCGGCACCTCTTCTTTAACACATTTGCGTAGACTTTTCCCGAGAAGCTCAACAGTCAAAAATGTATCGCTTTCATTGGACTTCTTTTTTGAAAACTGATGTTACAACCCCTGTTCTCAAATCCACTGTGTCTACTGTGCTTTCTCCATAGCCGTTACAGCCTAGTAGTCACATTTTAGCAACAATATGCCTTCGTCTAACGTTCTAAGCCTTTCAGGACGGATTTCATTAATTCCGGCAGCATTTCCACTTTTCAAGCTTTTCACAGCTTGTGTAATTTTATCTACAGAAATAGTAATATCCGTTGCATTCTGTTCTTCAGGCGAGTAGTCTGGGCGACTGCTCAGAATCAGGGGGTTGCTCAAAGTACTCTCTCTATCTTCAGATCTTCAGAGTAGGTCATTTTCTTTGCTAAAGAATCGTCTAGACTTGTTCTTCAGGACTCCTGGGTTGCCCGTGTTTTAATCTCGAGAGCAGCTGCTGCACTGCCATAATACTTTATTTATCGTCTGGAAATTGAACTCAAGCAGTTCACCAAACGTTTCCGAAATTTTACCGCTACATCTCGAATCACATTGAAAGCGAGAACGAGAATAAACAAA